GTGGCGTGCTGCTAACACCTAAACACATGCTGGGTCCAGTGGGTCGACCGCACTGGAGATCTCTCATTAAACCCAGTCTGTGTTTTTTTGCCTTATTTTGGAAGATACATTTTTAATGAATTAGGATATTTGCTCATAGATATTTGTTCAATTGATATCCCATTTTGGTCTATAGATTGGTGTAATAAAACAAAGCTGTCATGTTTCAAAGCTGTTCTGTGGGTACTTTAAATGATAAATATTAATGATTTTTTTTTTTTTTTTTTTTAACTATACTCCATTTAGGAAATAAATAATATTTTCAGTCTCTCCCCTAGTTTTGGTGGATATTAGTTGATATGGCCGATACTTAAAGGCAAAACTATGGAATATTATCGCAAAATAAACATTCTACGAAGAAAAGTAGGAAGTGGCCCTCCTCCAAACCAAGTAAGAGTCAGGTTTATGGAGAGGCAAGCACGTTCTCATTAAGAAACTTTGTATAAGCTTCTCGGTGCAATAAAAAAGCTTTAAACGTTCAAATTTAACTTTTCTGTCAGGCATTTGTTTATCTCCAGGCAGATGCTGTTTCTTTTTATGAAAAATAAAATACAAAGGCTTTACCAACATTGCTCTGTCAAATTGCTAGAGATGTAACAATAACGGAAATATCGTGATATCGTATCGTCAGAAAGTCACACAATAATATCGAGAGCTGTCACAATATATCGAATTACAAGTTCCTTTGCTTAAATGCATTGTTCTTCAGTAGGGACAGCTAATAAACACACATATAAACTACATATCCCATGATTTATTTCAGCGCAAACAACATGAAGAAATATGTTTTTTACTTGAATTCTTGAGATTCTTACAGTAATAATTCGCACCAAATCTTGTCAAGGTATTTTAAAAGCAAAAAAGTGTCCCATCTAGAATAATATTTGCCTCTCCAAAATATCGCTATAAATATTGTACCGTGAGATGCATATCGTGATAATATCGTACTGAGAAATTTGGATATTGTTACATCCCTACAGCCAATACAGGACTAAACCTGCATCAAACTAGGACTAGACTAGTACCAGGCCGGTCTAAACCAGGACTATAACAGAATCCAACTAAGTCTAAAGCAGTTAACTCTCCTAACCACCATTACCCTGCTATTTATTGAGGTCACACAGTGGTTGGGTCGGTGCTCGGACTCCACAGGGGTCCCGGTAAACGATGGCTGATTTTGTGGTACGCTGGGCTAATGATGCTAATGATGCTAATGAACAGGCTAATGTCCCTCCAGTGTCTGGCAGCAGCCTCTGGGACAGCGTGCAGCTCCAGGACTCACTACGAAGTATTAGCTGTAAAAGGCCCTGGAGTCGCGCGTGATGGACGAGAGGAGGAAAAAACAAGAAAAAACAAGCCTTTCTGTTGCTGGGTACAGTTACATGGCCTGTAGAAATCAGATAACCCAATAATTAGATCAGATTTTAGAATTTTAAATATAAATATGATTATCTAACACATTACACTTGTTTTTTTACAGTATTTTTCGGACTATAAGGCGCACCGGATTATAAAGTGCAATATCAGTAATGTTGAATTCTCACAACTACGTGAAATGGATTATAAGGTGCATTAAACAAAATAAAGGGACGACACTTGAGGCTGATCCCTTAGCTCAGGCGTCCACGATCCATTGGTAGATCGTGGCGTAATTCAGCCGGTGTTGCCTCCCTGTCTTGCTGAATGTGTATTATGAATGTGAATGTGGATAGATAATTTAAGCTTGTTTTTTTTATTTCCTGTGAGGAGGACTCAAATATACATTGAGTAATAATGTGTTTAATGCAGCTTTATGCACATGTGTAACTTTTACAGAAACCACATGGCTAATTTGCATAAACTATTAAACTATAAGTGCTGAAAAAACAGCTCTCTTCTTATGCGCTGATGCGGTCAACTTCTGTTGGACTAAAGGACACGACTCAGTGGAATATGCGTGTTTTTTTTTTTTTTTCTGTGATGGAGGATGTGCTGATGATGGTGAATCTGTTCTGTGCTTCCATGGCACATGTGAAACTTTTCAGAGATCATTCGTCTGCAGGTCATATGTACAGGCCATATTTATGAATGGACATATATTCTCTGTATTTTATTGATGTCATAAATGCCAACGCAGAATATACTTCGCCCTTTACTCTGCGAGACTCCTGACTACAGAAGCCGTAATTCTCCGACAATCCATCAAGCGGTGTGGCTTTGTAGCTTACCAAAGTCGAAGTCATTTTGACAGATATTTGAGTGCTGTGTACCACATAAAATCGGTATTAATACATAAGGTGCACTAGATTATAAGGTGCACTGTTGATTTTTGACAAGATTTTAAGTGCGCTTTGTAGTCCAAAAAATACGGTACACCTTAATTGGCCTTAATAAAGCATGAAAAAAGAATTTTATTATTATTTTCTGGTGTATGTTATAATGTTGTTTCCTCATCACAAACATACCTGGAGTTGGGTTTTGTTTCATCCATACATGTTTAACACACTGAGTTCTTCTATCACCACCACCACCCTGTGATACAGGAAGTGCTCCACTGTGTTTTTTTAACTACATACAGCTTCACTAGAATCATTCGGATAATTTCAGGCCTGGAATTTTCCATCTTTACTAAACAAAAGGTACAAGGTAGCTGATAACTTCAAAACTACTGCTTCATCACAAGATGGAATAGAGCATTTTTAGCTTTGGAGACTAATAATAAAACTGTGTAAATGAAACAAAACACAACTCCAGGTATGTTTTTGTCAAGGCAACAACTTTATAACACGACTTAAAGCTCGCAAGAATCAATTTTGCATAATATAGGACATTTTAGTATCAATTAGTATCTGGTTTTTGATACTTTTCACAAGCCTTCTGAGAAATATCAATACTTCCAACTTCAAGTACCACGTCAAGTACCACTAATCAATACTGCTACTCTTTCATCTTTCTCTTTTCTGGTTTTTCATACCGAGCGGTTTGATAAAATGCTAAACAATTTCTGTATTTAATTTCAAAACCCATCACATACCCACTTGTGCTTGGCTCTGGCTCTCCTCTGCCTTCACTTTTCTTGTTTTTTAATTAATGTTTACTTTTTCGCCTCTAGACATCCTCACAAAGGTTTTCTACCACTTGACCATGCTGCCAAGCAGTTTTTTTTAAATGCATTTCTTCCTTTTTTAGCTTGAAGTGTTAGCAATTAACACCACTCAAACATGTTTTATTCATTCTCTGACCTCTGCTTTTGCGCAATTGCTGCCATGCTAAGGTTAAGAGTAGCAGTCATACCAATGTTGATTTTGAGGTTGGCAGAGTGCATCCATCTTTCAAAGGGCCTGCGGCGTGGAGTGAAGTTTCAGTTGTTCGTACTAAATATTTAAAGGATACCAATGTAAACATGGGGCTATTCTCGTGCATGACTCCCTCTCCCCCCCTACGCTCTGTATCTGACCTCGGCCGAGCGAGAGCCTGTGTTTTGACAGAGTGGTGACGGGGCAGATTACGCTGACGGGGCCCCGAGGTCACTGGCCCCCGTTTAAGACAGAGACGAGGAGGCCAGAGGGAGCAGCTGTGGTTCGTCCTTATGTACTTTCAGGAGTGTTCATACTCTGGTTTATAAAGGATTATTGTGTCATTTTTTTCAGTCGGGGGTCCCTCAACTGCTTTTTTCTATGGATATGTCGTTGCTTTGCCTGGAATGTTCCACAGTATTACACAGACATTAAACTGCTCTACTTTACATTTATTCAATTACACGTGGTTTCATAGCTCAAAAATACCAAGAAAAACAAGCATTCTGACTATGAGCGGACATGCCTCTCCACAGATCTGACCTGTAACTTGGTCTGGTTTGGTCTCCATGAAGATAGAAAGGTTTAATACCGTACTGTGAAACATTCCAGACAAAGGTCAGGAATCGCAAACTGTCTAGTGTATTCCAAGAACCCCAGGTGGTTTAAACTGCGCATCGGCCAATCAGCAAAGAGCTGTGAAGCCATGATGTCAATGTCCAGCGCCTGTCTGGGTCCCTTTTGTGGTACAACACAACAGTAAACAAAGCAAACGAGATGGATGTAGACGAAGACATACATTCTGTGTTGGCAACGATTCCCGAGATCGAGGATTTAAAACCGGAACAAGAAGATGTTTGGTGAATTTTATCAAGGGAAAAGACGTTATTGCCCTTCTTCCTACTGGACTTGGCACTTTACATACGACATGACCAAATGATTGGTCACCAGTGATTGGTTAAAAAAAAAACTTACCCCTTATCGTTGAGTGAACAAATCCTAATGCTGCGAGGTCAGACGGTTTTTACGAAGTGAAACAGGCTGATGAATCAGACTAATAAAACATCTCCATGGAGAAAAAAAAATAAAAAAAAATTTCATGGGCCCTCCACCAAAAATATTACACAATGCACCTTTAAAAGTAAGGCTGGGAATCACGGCATCCCTCACAATTCAATACATGAGACATGGCTCACAATGCGATATTATCATGATATGGCGATTCATGTGGTAATCGATATATCGCACATGATTCTCTGGGATATATTGCTGTTTTTTAAAGAACCAAACACATTTTAGCAACAATGTGTCTTTGTTAAACCACTTCTTGTGCAAAGTTCATATGAAGTGCATGTATATTTATCATCAAAACAGTGAATATGTCAAGTGTATTGCATAAACAAGTTTACTTCCTCTAAATGACCAACAAAACTGTAGTGCGGTCACAAAAATAATTTTGCTGTATCAAAACAAGTATAAGAGCACATAAACTAGTATACACCCATGGACCACTATGGAACTTACCTGGAGGGATTACACAGACAGAAGACCACATGGAAATATGTATTGATTAAATACAGCTTGTTTTTATAATCATTGTGGTATCTTAAATATAATAGTTGGCTACGTTTTTCGAGAAATAAGTAGCCTAACCTAACCTCATCTGTACTTTTCATGTGTCCACAGGAAGAGGAAGTCCGCCTGCAGAGCTAGCTTTGGTTGGATCTTCTTCTCTAAGGCATGTGCTGACCCCTGCTGGCTGAACACAACCTGTAGTGAGGTACAGAGGGGACACTCCGCTGGACAATACAGGAACAGCGCACGGTAAGTTTAATGTTTTGTACTTGTGTTTACGCCAAGGCTGATGGTTGAAGATGAATAATCAGAGATCACTACACAGCTCCAGCCGCACATTCTGTTCCAATTTCTACATACATTTTGTCATTCTTAAAGGGTCCATATAACGCTATTTTCTGATCTATGTTATAATGTTGTTTCCTCTTCACAAACAGACCTGGAGTTGTGTTTTGTTTCATTCACACAAATTTTATACACAAATCTGCATATTTAGGCTGAGTTCTTTTCTCAAACTGAAAACACTCTGTTCCACCTTGTGATGTCATGTGGTAATAAGGTAAAAGGAAGTGCTTTGCTGTGTTTTTAAACTCCAGACAGCTTCATTAGAATGATTCAAACCTTTTCAGCCCTGGAATTGCCAAGCTCTACTAAAGATGTCTGTAAAATTTAGAGGTGTGCTAAAATATTGAAATATCGATATATTGTATCACTTAATTTGATGATACAGTATTGATATCATGGGCTGCTGTATCGATATATCGCCAAGAGTAAATTTTGGTATATTTTACAAAACGATTTTGTTACAGTGCTACAGTTTTGTTGCTTGTTCAGAGAAAGGAAACTCATTTATGTGACACATTTAACATTTTCACAGTTTTGATGATTAAAATGTTTTTCATGTTTCATATTCACTTTGCACAAGAAGTGGTTTAACAAAGACTTTTAGTAACACATCGATGATTTTGCCTTTATTTTTATTGAACCGTATCGAATCTGTTTTAAATATATCGTATCAAATCGAAAGCTCACTGTATCAGGATATGTATCGTATCGTGGCCTAGGTATCGAGGTATGTATCGCAATGATACCCAGCTCTAATAAAATCCCGCATTTGTTCAAGTAAAATCCATGGCAAAAGGAGAAATTCAGCTTGTTAACTGGACTAAAGTTTTTTTTGTTGTAATACATTTTGCAGCTCATCCAAGCTGCTTCTTCAGTTTTGGTCAGAATACTGTTGGACACTTCCTTTAATCAATCAATCTAACTTTATTTATAGAGCACTTTTCATACAAAATTGCAACACAAAGCACTTATAAGTGCCTTATACCTTCTACCTTCTTATACCCTTCAGGCAGTGTCCATAAGCAATCTGACCAGAACTGAAGAAGCTGCAAAATGTATTCAACTAAATTTTGTCCAGTTGTCCAGTCAGTTTCTCCTTTTTCCAGTCTCTACTGAACTAAAGTTAAAAGGTAGCTGTTAATGTTGATGTTAAACTACCACTACATGACATCACAAGGTGGAGCATTTTGATCTTTGGAGATGTAGACAGCTTAACAATGCAGCTTAATACTCCAACATGTGTGAATGAAACAAAACACAACTCCAGGTATGTTTTTGATGAGATAACAACATTATAACATGAGTTAAAGTTCATAATAACCCATTTTCATCCATTATTGTCACAAGCTGTTCCTGTGGATTTAAACTCAGTTATCCGTATAACACAAGGGTTGTATCAGGTCACCACAGTCAAGCCTATAAATGAGAACTTGGCTCACCTTCTGCTTTGTGAATATTTATGACTTTACGTTGTTGTCTCCATATGGTAATTTCAACAAACAGAAGTATTGTTTCACTCGGGACTAAAAGCTCATATGCGCCATTACATCCCCACAGAATAATGCTACTTTTACCACGTCATTGTACGCTAATGGCCTTCTATATCCTCCTATACCTGATTGAGTAACCCTTTGCTGATTTTCAAGTGGCGCTCTCCAGTGGCTCAAGGACTCTCCATAGATTCCAATCAGAGCCGCGCCAGCCAGACAAGTAAACACATCATACACAGCATAAGCACGTTGTTTTGATGGTAGCAAAGAGAGCTTTGTCCCCCTCCCCGAGCTTTGTGTGTGTGTGTGTCCTGATTTGACAAATGGGGCTAATGCCGGGCTGTCATTCGGGGTCTTCCATTGTGCCGTGATCCCTCTTTAGGCTGGAGGTGCGGCCATACGGTCAGGGGAACAGATCACCACCTGTCAGTCAAAAGTAAAGGGAGGATAATACAGGAAAGGCACGGTAAAGTGTGGGTTAGAAGGGCTAAAGCAGGGGTCTCCGGTGAGCTACCTGTACAAAACTAAAATTCCAGAGAGCTACTAATTTTAGCAGTTGCAAGAAATTTAGTAGCAGGGATGTAACAATAACCGAAATATCGTGGCCTCATATCGTCAGAAGTTTCATAATAGGCCGGGAGCCAGGTCCACCCCTCAGGATGTTTTTTGCTTCCTTTTTTTCACTATTATTTCCTGTTATATTATATCTTGGGCCATAACGAGTTGATAGGGACCAACCCCAACTCGGCCCCGTTTGGTCTCAGGGCCCAAAAAACACACTTTTTAAGAAAAGCTATTTGCGAAATGATGTAACTGTAAATATTAATGTACTGCAACTGCATACATGGTCAAATAACCCTAAAATTTGGCATGGTGTATCCTGACACATGGGGGAAACTAGCAGAAAAATATTTTGGGGCTTGCTGCCTTTCTACTCTCAAATATCACCCTCAACATGTCCTAAAAGACTAAAAAATGTCTGTCCGCCTGACAAATTGTCATCAAAAGTGATCATTTTCAAGCATTTTATTGCATATATCACTGCCTCAAATGTACATAAAAAACTTCCCATGTTCATAAGCTTCAATTTAAGCCCAAGATGACCTTTGTATCGAGAGGGAAACAGCTGGTATGACCAAAGTTCTTCACTGTACCTCAAATCGGCAGGAGGCAGAACTTTCAGGCTTTACCATTACTTATGGGATCAAGCAGGATTTTTTTAAATAGAAACAATATTTGAAAAGAGTTGACTTATGTACTGCTGTACTATATGAAGTGAATTACATTAAAAGTGAATAATATTAATTACATTAATAGTAAATAATATTAAAACTCAAGGTCAGAGTGCAAGATAAAACTATGGTAACCAGATTACACATACAACACACACAACCCTGAAAGACTGAACCAGGTCTACACCAGGTCTACACCAGGACTGAACCAGGTCTACTGACCAGGACTGAACCAGGACTGAACCAGGACTGAACCAGGACTGAACCAGGACTGAACCAGGACTGAAAGGTCTAAACCAGGACTGAACCAGGACTAACCAGGACTGAACCGGGTCTAAACCAGGACTGAACCGGGTCTACATCAGGTCTAAACCAGGACTGAACCAGGTCTAAACCAGGACTAACCAGGTCTCAAGCAGGACTGAACCAGGACTAAACCAGGTCTAAACCAGGTCTAAACCAGAACAGACCCAGGTTGAAACCTGGTCTAAACATCGCGGAGTTCTGCGCCGCTCCTTTTGCCCGCAGTTACCTTATGGTCGACGCGGGTGTGTCTCCGGCATTTCATCACTGCTAATATCACAATGATTTTAGTGAATTTGTATGAAGAAAAACCCACCACTTCAATCCAGCTTAAAAAAGCATTGTAACGCGCGTTACTCACATTTGTACTGAGTAAAATATTACAAACTTTTCCCTGTAATGCCACATTACTGCGTTACAGCAAAAAGCAATGCATTACAGTAATTTGTTACTTTTATAACACGTTACTCCCAACACTGATCAGCACAACATGTATAATTCAGAAATCTATATTCTCTATTCATGCTTAAGTCACAAACCAGGAAGACGTTTGGAAAGACTTGATGACAACTTCCGGTGTAGTTCCTGACACTGAGCTCGCCAACCGACTGTGATCAAACCCATCGAAGTAAAAGTGATCAGCGGTAAAATGAAGACTGCATACATATGTGCTGTTTGGAATCATCTTGATTTTGGCGCCTCATCTCTTCTAATCGCCTGTACTCAGAGTACTCAGAGTTGGGTGTCAGTGTGGAAATGATGTAAAGTGAGGTGTGGTTGTAATTGTTGATTAGCTGAACATCACGGGACACTACAGTGACATTTAGATAAAAAAAAACTGGGCCATTTTCTCATTTTTCCTAAAACAGAGTCCGCTGGGAGTTGTAATAGCATCTTTACAAATGTCTTCCTGGTTTGTGACATAAGTGTGAATGGTGGAGAGCTGTAAGTTGGAGATCCCTGGGCTAAAGGGACTGTACGTATCTTGTGCTCTTAGTGATATAAAAATGTTTCTGCAATCACAACTGAAATTGGGTTGCCAGTGTCTATAGAGGACACACACGTTTTTTCATTCCATATATATAAGTAGAATTTAGGTAGTGACCATTCAGATCAGAGAGAGACTTTTTAGGTTTAAACCAACTGGATTTCAGAATTGAATCTGGCAACCCAAATGAGAAACTTTCTGATTGTTGAACTGAAGCACTAACATATATAAATAAATGGGATATATCATGTTCAGTCTTTTAACAATTAAGACTACATCATTGTTATAACTGTTGTCTTTAAAAGCTTCATTTGATTTTAATATGTTTACTCTGTATCTACATGGGCTTGGATAGAGTTCATTTTTAGCAGTAGTAATAATATACATTTATATAATTTTTTGGTATTACAATGACATTTCGATTTTGCTATTTAGTCCGATAAAGATTCAGTTCTCAGGGCACTTTCATTAATGGAATGAGACTCGCGAGACACCGAGAAGTATGGACTAAAATACATGAAAAAAATATGACAACTAAAAATATAAATGTCATAAAAGCTAAAGAAGGTCTTAAAGACTGTGATTTGCAAGTTCTAGAAGTCTAATTAAATGTGCAGTATGTATCTTTAGCGGTAGATGATCCTCCACGTGCTCGTCTTCATGGATATGTTATTGCTTTGCCTGGAATTTTCCACAGTATGTCATTAAACTAGTCTATCCTCACCGTATATTCTCTGCAGATGATGTACTATTGCTTATATAACCTTTTGCCTTTTGCTAATTGATTGCCAACACTCGTATCGCTGTTTTGTCTGCGATCAACCTCGCCGCTCTCCTTTACCTTGAACATAAACATATTCCATACACAGTAATTAGATTCTTGACAGCGCT